TAAAACCAATGAATCTCAGAAAAAACTGCAGGAACTGGACAGACGGGTATTATAATCTGGTAAAAAACTCTCCTGCAATTTTTTACTGCTGACAAGAGAGGAAAGAAATATGACCCAGTGACTGAAAATGAGAATGATTGGTTTTATTTATCACCATCATAATTGTACTTGTGTCACCAGAGTTTATTTAGCACTTATATGCAACATTGAATGTTATCCAGAAAAGTGATAAATATTACATATAGAGAATTGAAGCATATCTAGTATTTATACATACGGTTTGCTATCTAACAGTGTTTGTATATACTCACTGTGTTCTATGATCATTTCACTTGTGCTCTTGGTAACCATCATATTGTTTACCACATCCAGTGTGAACAATATCAACAAGCAATACATTTCTCAGAAAATCCGTTTGAGTTCAGAATTAAATTAACTTAGGAAATATTAGATAGATTTTTTTCTAGAATAAATAATTTAGAAAATACTGGTATGATACAAGTGCATGAAATTTGTTGTTGTTGTTGTGGTTTTTGTACAGGTTTTCGTGTTAATATGTAATATTCTCAGACCAAGTTTCTCCCCTAGACTGATGTCATGTCCTGTAGCTATTTGTCATTCTTTCAAGTTGTTTTACAGGTTTCATTAGCATTGAAACACTTCATCCTTTAGCTCATCAAAACCTTTTCCAGACTGTTCAGAGTCAGCCAGCATAAAAAAGACCTTTAACATTTTCCAATGCATGGCTTACGTTCGGAGAAGCTATGCTGCATTTCAAAAGGGCTACAAGTATGTGTATGAGACAACCGTTAGAATTTGATATTTCAATAATAAAGTGAAATCGTCTAAAGAGATCAAACATTTTAAATCAAACTTTTCCCTCTGTCAGTACATGATAGTAGTTATGGTTCTGTTTTAATATGTATATTTTAAAGTCATCATATTAATAAAACTGAAAATCAGTTGAAATGGTTTATGAAATAAAGAGTTCTTTTTTTTTAACTGTTGCTTGTTTTATCCCTTTTCTGAGAAATCAGTAATAGCATAGCATTTCAGCATACTTTAGACATTGAAAACCTGTGTACTGTATTTGTGTGTTCTAAACTGTCCTTACTAAATGGAACAGTTCTGGGAGTTAATAGTAAAGCGCATGATGATGGATTCTGAAGGAAGAAAATGTACCAAAACATGCAGATCCAGAACCGATATGGAATCCATTATAGCTAAGATCTAGTTTGAAGTGTTCAGAATAGGATTATATAAAATATTACTTTCATTACTACTCATTAAGTAGCATCAGTAGCTTCATTTGAGTCCTTCACTTGAGCTGAAGGCAAGATTCAGACCTGTCTGAATCAGTTATATTGGCATGAGTGGTTACGTTCAGTTAAACCGTGGAACCAGAAGCGACACAGCAACCAGAACTGAAGCGGTCAACACACTGATCCTGCTGCTGACTTCACCTGACGAATGTTCTGCATCACAAAGAGATGAAAACAGACAGAAATGATCATTCACTGACCTTTTGGAATTTTGTTTAAAGCTCAAGTAGTATAACGGACAGAGTACAGATGCAACGCTGCAAATTTTAACTCTTAAAATTCATGTGCACGTTAACATTAGCATTCTCTCTCTGCATGAAAAATGTCAAGCTTGTAGTCCACGTTCCTTTAATCATGTAAAGTCTTTTTTTCTTACTCCTCTGTTATTGTGAATAATTGTTATTCCTGTCTGATCATAAAAAACTGTGCTTGTTATTGCCGATTGTTGATTTATCATCTTCTGAATTTTGTTTGTGAAATACAAGATTGTGTGATTTTGTTGTGCAATAACCTATACAATAATGCAAGTCAGTTTGATTTCATTATTCAATATCAAATTTCATATAATTTTGAATTGTATGTATTTAAACAATACGAGGGTTACACTTCATTCCATTGTAGGCATTCTACTTGTCAACTAACAGTCGTTAGTAGAATACATGTCAGTTTTGTTCAACTCTGCAACTACATGTCAATAGCAATTTCCAGTAAATTTTCGGAAACGAAAATTTCCAAAAATTTCCAAAGAATCCTGGAAAGTTTCCATAAATTTACTGGGGATATTCCACCCCTTTGCAACCCAACTTACTCTACTAACCCTAACAAAACAGTATACTAATCCGAGTTAGCTGACATGTAGTTGCAGATTAATGGTGGTTAGTTGACATGTAGTTGCAAAGTTACTTGTAGTTAGTAGAATGTGAAAAGTGGAACCAAAAAAGTGCATGGTTGCAATGCAAGAAATTGAGAAAATCTTTACATTTCCTGCATTATAAGCAGGAACTGGGCAGAATGAATAAAATTGTTCACAATCCACACCAAAACTTAGGGTCTGCAAATTAATGTTTTTTTTAGGGCATTCTAGTGTGCTAATATATCGTTTTTTATCACCGATGCCCAGCTCTGAAATTCAACAAAACGTGTATTTGAAAAAAGTTACCACAAAAGTTATATTAGTCTGGATTGTCACTGGAATTTTCTGCAGTGACTCTACAAAAATGGAACTGATTTTTTTCATTATCACAAATTGTGCAAAACTTTCTAATTTGTGTAGGACAGCAAAACGCAAACAAGTTACAACTGTACTCTACCCTACATTGATATAACAGGGTTGTACAATTCCAGTAAAAAAAATTAAAATACTCAAAATACTCATCAAAGTAAAAAAAAATACTCATCTGAGTGCACAATGTTTCACTACAGTGCAAGATTAAAGTGCATCACTCACCGGTTCCATTTATTATGATTGAAGAAGTGAAGATCTGGAAGGGTAACGTGTTGTTTCTAGTTGCTCGAACTACAGTGTTCACTATCTGGGTGCTATTAGGTAGAACGGCATCCGCTCCAAATACAAGATCCATGGAGTTTCGGATTGTGGGCACGCTCCTTAATTTTACACTGGCATCACTGGAGAGAGTTTGGAATCAAGATTCATCAATGAAAACTGAGTGTTATTTTGAATCAGTAGCTATTTTCAAGAATGCACCAGCATATTCATACCTGAAGTCTGTTATGGATATGGTGCTGAATGATTTAGGGTAATCAGCGAGGAAAAAAGGTTCGAGCTGCAAAACAAGAGTTGTTCAACAAAATTGGCTTTCTTTTGTAAAAGCATATTACCCAAAATTCATAAGTAGACACGTCACACTCACCCCTGCTTTTATCATCGAAGCCCTGTTCTGAAATTCAGTAGAACTTTTATTTGAAAGAGCAGCCACAAAGGTTCCATTGGTGAGGATTGTCAGCGGAATTATCTGCACTGATTCTACAAAAAAGGAATTGATTTTAAAGATAACAGAGCAGAGATTGCACAGAACTTTTCTAGTCAAGATAACATAGTAAGATCTCAGAAATCTGGCATATATAAATTAGCTTACTAATGACAGTAATAGTGGTGGCATCAAGTGTGAGGTTGAAGCCTGCAGTTGAATTAGCAGCTGCTTCTTTTAGAGTCTGCACAATGTCAGTGTTGCTGGGGATCGGTTCAGTGGACGCTCCACTGAACACCAACTCAACTTCCGCCTGTACATTTAATTCTTCCCGGGTTCTGGAAACACCACTAGAGAAAAAGGTATGTTTTGCAGCTTATAATTACTTCCATATATTTGATGGGTTGTGGTGCAGAGATGAGAGAAAAGAGATAAAAAAAAAACTGAATCATGCAAATGTCAAAATGCAACTTAACTTATAACTGTAAATGGCTAACTTGTATAAAGGAGAGAAAATCTTACCATATTTTGTGCTGTTGACAGTAATGAGTATAGTCAAATGCATAAATTCAAGTTCCCCTTCTAGGGAACTCAACGCTGCGCCCCCTAGGGGAATGCAGCCTGCTTGACCGGTGTATGAAGCACGTGTGAAACAACACCAATCGATTGGCCCACCTGGCCCATGACGTCATAGGTGAGATGCCCGGAAGTATAAAAGGGCACCTGCTGAATACATCATCCTCTTTGCTGTCTTCAGGAGCCATCTGTTTAAAGTGTGTGTGAGAGACCAAGGCAGCTGAGCAGTGAGTGTGTGCCTCCGTTCCAGAGGTTTCTGGCACTTGAGGATGCACACAATCTATCTGTCATCGGTTTTGGTCAGGAGCTTGCGTGTTCAGTGCTCGAGGGTTCTGAATGCGCTCATTGTGAGTGTTATCCAATGAGAAGCTCCATTCGCGTTTGTCCCTCTTCTCGAGAGATGAGTGACAAGCATTTGCGTCTCACGGTTCGAGTCACGCGGTTGCCGAGGCACAGCGAAGACTTGGATCGCGGGGTTGAGCAGCGCCTTAGGGAATGTGTGCCTCTGTGTTTGGATTCTAACACTCGAGGGCATGTTCTGCTTTCACGTTGGTCTCGTCGAAGAGCACGCGCGTTCAGAGTTACGCGCTCATTGTGATGAATCTCGATGTCTAGGCTCTGCTCGCGTTTGTTCCTATTCCCGAGGGATACGGAACAAAGCGTTTGTGTCTTGTGGCCAGTTCCTGCCACGGCACAGTTTATCTCAACTCGCGGTCATCGCTTTGATCTGCGGCATCTGCACTCCCTCTCTATCGGGTTGTCAGATGCCACAGATATTGTTGGGTTGTTATGACGATGAAGTTTGAGCCAGAGTCGTTTCAGCCCTGATCCTGCGAGATCGTGGGCGGAGCTATATTCAGCTCGGCCGTGCCTCTCTAATATGCATGTTAATGTGTGTGGAGAGCCTTGCTGGGCATGAATATATTTAAATATTCTGTGGTGAGAGGCTTGCGAGTTTTCTCTCCCAGGGTTTTCAGCACCTAGAGTGGTTATGGGGAATACCTTTTTGCTCTGGAATATGGCGGTCTGAGGGCAGCTATGTTCTAGCCTAGATTCTAATAACTAGGTTGGGTTCCCCTTGGCACAAGCTCTCCAGTAAGTGCTGAAGTCTTTGTTTAGGAATCTGCTATTCGAGGATAGCTGTGTTCCAGCGCGGAGACCGCTTCCCTTTTAGGGTTTTTAGATTGTGGTGTCTGTGAGCCCCTCGTCTGGACTGTGCTGTCTCCCCTTCTGGGTTTTAAGTAGATGGCCCACTTCCGTGACCTGGGCAATCCTCAGCCTTATCTGAGAGAACTGCTATTCGAGGATAGCTGTGTCCAGCCCTCTAGTGCTATGGCTACTACTTACATCAGGCTTGATCACAGACTATGATGTTTGTGTTCGCTCTTTAACGAATCATTTACTGATGGTCTGGATCTCCCTCTTGTGAGATCTTGGTCAATAGCATGGTGCTTTTCTAGCCTACTGTGGGACTGACACAGATTGGGGACCTCCTTTATATAGCCTTCTGAGGGTGATTATATTCCAGCCATTGTTTTTGGTGGGACGGGCTTACTTGAATACAGCTATCTGTGGCTAGCTGTGTTCTACTGCAGTTGCGGTGAGCCCTCTCATGGAGTGGACCCCTTTCCTAGAGCTTAGCTATCTGAGGATAGCTATGTGCTAGCTCAGTGATCGCTCCCCTGCTTAGGGTTTTAAGTAGCGGTCTCTTGAGCCCTTACCTAGACAATACTGTCTCCCCTCTTTGGGTCGAAGTAAACAGCCCACTTTTTGTGGTCTGGGTAGTCTCAGTCGGTCCCCCTTCTTGTAGCCCTTCCCAGGTACCTAGCTATTTGAGGATATCTGTGTGTGGGTTTTAAAGTAGCGGTGTCTTTGAGCCCGTGGCTAGACAGTGCTATCTCCCCTGCTAGGGTAGTAAGTAGATAGTCCACTCTCTGTGGTGTGGGCAGCTCCGTAGGAAGGCTATCTTGGCTATGTTATTCTGGTCCACAAGCCTTCATAAGACCTTAGGGACATAGCTATCTCCGCAGCTACTCTCTTTACCTGGGATTTAGGTAGCATCTCTTGAGCTCCTCTAGAGGCTCTCTAGTTAGCCTCTTCAGTGGTTTTGTGTATCCAGACTACTTCTGCTCACATAACATAGCTATCTGAGGATAGCTGTGCTCTTAACTTGAATGGGATGTTCCCCTTGATCTATTCGGGTTCCCCTGTTTCTGCCAAGTTGCGTGAGCAGCCCGTGGCATCAGTGGCATGGCCTGCGCCCCCTTGTCATGCCTTCAGCCTGCATGTCTACGTCTCCTTCAGACAGTGGATGATGTATTCAGCAGGTGCCCTTTTATACTTCTGGGCATCCTGCCTATGACGTCATGGGCCAGGTGGGCCAATAGATTGGCGTTGTTTCACACGTGCTTCAGAAACCGGTCATGCAGGCTGCATTCCCCAATGTGCCCCATAGGGGGCGTAGCATCTCGTTCCCTCTCGGGGAACCATGGTTACATGAATAACCTGAGACGTTTTTATGACATGAAAAATTACACAAACTGTCTGACATTAAAAGCATGATGCAGTGTAAATTAATAAAGTAATCATTTAAAGTATTGAATCAAACTTTTTACTTACATGAATGCAATCACGATGGTCCTGATGAAACGAGGCCCAAACTTTTTTTTATAGACTTCATCAAACTGTGAAAGCAGTAAGTCAGTTTTAGGAATGTTTCCTAATATTTTATGAAACAATTCCATTTTTATTGAAGTAGATCATGTTTTGTTGTTTGTTTGTTTTTGTTTTTTTAAAAGAGTACTATACAGTTGAACAAGAGTGGTAAAAAAGATCATATTTTCTCACTCCCAAAACTTTCAGGCAAGTGCAAAACTGAGTTTAGAATTTTCCTTTAGATTTTTACTGTTATTTAAAATAAAAGAAAAAAATCATTAAATTTGTATGTGTATCTTTGCAAATGCTTCTACATATGTATCACTGTATTGTTCTGCAATTTGAAACATACCATCGTCTCCACCTTTGTGGCTAGGATTTTAAATTCCGTAGTTTTCGGGTCCTCCAGTGCTTGAGTAAAAACCTCTATAATGACAATCTGTATGGCTACAGTTGGCAGAGGACGTGCTGGTGCTGCTGTTGTAGTGGTGGTGGTTGTTGTGGTGGTGGTTGTCGTAGTTGGAGTTGTTGTTGTTGTTGCTTTTGTTGTTGTAGTAGGGCTGGCGGTAGTTGTTGTGGTGGTTGTCGTAGTTGGAGTTGTTGTTGTTGTTGTTGCTTTTGTTGTTGTAGTAGGGCTGGCGGTAGTTGTTGTGGTGGTTGTCGTAGTTGGAGTTGTTGTTGTTGTTGTTGCTTTTGTTGTTGTAGTAGGGCTGGCGGTAGTTGTTGTGGTGGTTGTTGTTGTATTAGGTGTGGTTGTAGTTGTGGTAGGTGTGGTTGTAGTTGTGGTAGGTGTGGTTGTAGTTGTAGTGGTGCTGGTTGTAGTGGCTTTGGCAGTTGTGGTGCTGGGCTCCGTTACTGTTGTGCGAGTTTCGATGTATTGTAGAAATTGGAAATATAAAAGTAACAGTTGAGAAAATTACTCCAGCAAGATTACAAAAAAAAAAAAAGTTTAATAACAATGCAGAGTAATACAGAAAGCATTCTAAATAGTTTTGAACATTCATGATGTTGCTTGTTTGACTTACGTGTTACACTGGTGATATTAAGAGTGGTTTTAGCTTGCAAAATAGTGCTTTTTATGTCCTCGGTATTGGGTAATTGGGTTGCAAATGTCACATTAATTTCAGTGATGATTGACCCACGACTACAGAAGAGAAAGTGTCATAAAGAGTCTTAGAGAAAGAGTGGTATTATACAAGTCTGTCAGATGCTTTTAACAAAACTCATGTACAGTACTATGCAAATGTCTTAGGCATATTAAATTTGTTTTAAGATGGTTATATATATATATATATATATATATATATTGCCTTTGTAAACCAGTAAAAAAATAACAATTTTGGATTTACAAACATTCTTTTTGCAAATTTTGGAATAATATTAAGATGTTCTTTGTATAAACAAGGAGTCCAACAACCAATTGTATGGCCAACACAGACATCTGATCTCGCCATCATCTGGGATTACATGAAGAGACAGAAGCAACTGATACTAAAGCCTAAATCAATAGAAGAATTGTGGAAAATACTGTAAAAACAGTTTTTTTTTTTTAAATAACACCATGAACTTTTATCATTTAACATCGATTATGCAAATTAAGTCGAAGTTTGGTGTGACCACCCTTTGTCTTCAAAACAGCCCTTTCATAGGTGCACACAGTTTTCAAGGTATGTTCCAAGCATCTTGGATAAGCTTCAGTTGTTCTATTGATTTAGGCAGGGCTGCAACAACTAATTGATAAAATTGATTATAATGGATAATGAAAATAATTGACAACGGATTTGATTATTGATTAGTCGCGTCTGTGCACTGTGCTCAAAAACCATCAGCTAGTCACGCTGCTTTACAGTAGTGAATATCCCATTTCTATGGACAAAATGCATATGGAAAATAGCAGAGGACACAGAGTTAACTGCTGCGTGAAAGGTACATGATCCAAGTTGTCTGAAACATGAGAATGCTTTATATTTATAAGCGCTTCAAACAAAAGCATAAGCATTTAACATGTCTTTCTCTGTCATGCTTTGACAGATGCGTGTGCTGTTTAATGCATCTGACCTCAGTTTCCTCAGTGCAAAACATATATTTTATGGTTGTAGCATTATCTGTAAATGCTAGAAAGTCCCACGAGTATTTCAATTTTTGCATATTCTGACAACAAGCGAGTCTTGTTAGAAGGGGTGCTGTAAAGGGGGGGTAAGGTTAGGATGATTCCAAGGGCCTGACGAGGGAGATGGGGCCCGGAACATGATTTTTACTGAGGGGGACCAACAACTCCCCAACCTCCCTTTTAGTTTTAGAATTCAGTGTTTGTATTTTTTAACCCTTTTTGCTTATAATGTACAGCATAACCTACATAGAAACATTGACTATATTTGTTTTCCTAGGCTTTATATTACACATTGTTTGGAGGCCACCATTGGGTAAGATATGGAATAACATTGTTTAAAATAATTGATTAAAAGTATTTTTTTTTTCATCTGATTAATAAAAAATAAAAAATAAATCGACAGATTATCAAAATAATTAGTTGCAGCCCTAGATTTAAGATTTAGCCTCAGTTACCTCTGTCTGTGTGATCCCATATGAATGTTTGGATATCTAAAATTGTTATTTCTTATATAGAAGAAAAATGTATAAATTGCTATCTAGATTGTCCTGTGAACCAGAGACTTTTGTCTTCCAAAAATGAATTGTATTCCTATTTAAAAGGAAGAAATACTCACCGGAACTTAATAACGTCGAGTCCAATGAAGGAGGAGAATTTCTTTCTAAATAATGGTTCCAACTGTGGAAAACAAGTTGACAATGTCAGGTTCAATATTTAGTTAACAATTCTGAATTTTAATCACAGAAGAAAATACAACATGAAAGAGATTTGATAGTCATGCATTTGTTTTAACATGATATGAAGTTACTGTTCCAGAAGTTTCCAAATTTTAGTGAATGATAGCATTTACTGTCTAAGTCTTCTTTGTAGTTCTTGTTCAACTGTATGTCTTACCGTACTTGGTCCATCATCCGCAATTAAATTATTTAAATGCTTGGAGGGAATATTTGCACCCATTTTCACCTTTTGTTTCTGTTATTTGTTACAATTATTTATTCACTTATTTTCTAACTTGTTTTTAACTTTGCAGCAGGTTTTTATTTTTTGCTACTTCTTCTACAGGACTTTTCCTGTCTTCTCATAATTATACTCAGATGATCGCCCAGCCAAGCCACACACAAGTTTGGAATTTTTTTATTATTTTTTTTAATTTAACTGTTGTTGAGAAATTACTCTAAGACAGGGATCCTCAAATCTGGCCCACGAGATCCACTTTCCTGCAGAGTTTAGCTCTAACCCTAATCAAACACACCTGAACATACTAATCTTAATCAATGTCTTCAGGAACATAAGAAAATCACAGGTAGGTGAGTTTGATCAGGGTTTGAGTTCAACTCTGCGGAGCATTGGCCCTTTAGGGCAAGGTTTGAGGAACCCTGCTCTGAGAAGTTCAATAGTGAGAATGCAAAAAAGAAAGTGTGATTGGCAATTCTTTGATGTATTAACATTTAGCAGCAAAGTTTGACAGTAAAATATGAACTAATTATTAAAATAGCAACATATTAATATTTACACCAGGGCATAAATAAAACAGAACACTATTTGCACTGGAGTAAAAATAACCTACATTACTGTCTATGTGGGGTGCAATTAATTAGGTACACTGCTATCTGTTAGTGTGCAGAATTAAATACTGAATACATTCCAATGTAAAGAGTCTGTTACTATTTAACTTGCAGTGCAAACGACACCTTGAATTTTTGCTATGCAACGTACCACATTTGAGACTTTGTTTTTTCTGGTGTTAAATGCGTCTGAATCTGGATTTGACAGATCATCCACAAAAGTTTCATTGCTGGAAAAACTAAAAAGAACTGAATGGGTTGTGCTTGGGGTTGTTGCTTGAGCTGTGGTTATTGTAGGTTGAACTGTTGTATCTGAAGTGGTTTGTAGAATTGTAATTATTGGAGCCCGTGTTGTGGTTGTAGGTTGAACTGTTGTTTTTGGGGTTGTAAGAGGGGCTGTAGATGTAAGTACAGTTGCTGTTGTACGTGCAATTGTTGTAACCAGGGTTGTAGATTGGGCTGTATTTGTTGTAGGTATGGATGTTGTTGAGTTTGTTGTAACCACAGTTGTAGGTTCAGTTATTAGTGCCGTTTCTGTAGAAGAGGCAGTAGTTGGAAGTGGAGTTGCAGTTGTAGGAGAGTTTGTCGTAACCACCGTTGTAGGTTCAGTTGTTTGTGCTGTTTCTGTAGAAGAGGCAGTAGTTGGAAGTGGAGTTGCAGTTGTAGGAGAGTTTGTCGTAACCACAGTTGTAGGTTCAGTTGTTTGTGTCGTATCTGTAGAAGAGGAAGTAGTTGGAATTGGAGTTGCAGTTGTAGGTGAGTTTGTCGTAACCACAGTTGTTGATTCAGTTGTTTGTGTCGTGTAGGTGAGTTTGTTGATTCAGTTGTTTGTGTCCTTTCAGTAGAAGAGGCAGTAGTTGGAAGTGGATTTGCAGTTGTAGGTGAGTTTGTCGTAACCACAGTTGTAGGTTCAGTTGTTTGTGTCGTTTCTGTAGAAGAGGCAGTAGTTGTATGTGGAATTGCAGTTGTAGGAGAGTTTGTCGTAACCACAGTTGTAGATTCAGTTGTTTGTGCCGTTTCTGTAGAAGAGCCAGTAGTTGGGAGTGGAGGTTCAGTTGTAGGTGAGGTTGTAGCTTCAGTTGTTTGTGTCGTTTCTGTAGAAGAGGCAGTAGTTGGAAGTGGAGGTTCCCTTGTAGGTGAGTTTGTCGTAACCACAGTTGTAGGTTCAGTTGTTCGTATTGTTTCAGTAGAAGAGGCAGTAGTTGTAAGTGGAGTTGCAGTTGTAGGAGAGTTTGTCGTAACCACAGTTGTAGGTTCAGTTGTTTGTGTCGTTTCTGTAGAAGAGGCAGTAGTTGGAAGTGGAGGTTCAGTTGTAGGAGAGTTTGTCGTAAACACAGTTGTAGGAAGTGGAGTTGCAGTTGTAGGTGAGTTTGTCGTAACCACAGTTGTAGGTTCAGTTGTTCGTGTTGTTTCAGTAGAAGAGGCAGTACTTGGAAGTGGAGTTGCAGTTGTAGGTGAGTTTGTCGTAACCACAGTTGTAGGTTCAGTTGTTCGTATTGTTTCAGTAGAAGAGGCAGTAGTTGTAAGTGGAGTTGCAGTTGTAGGTGAGTTTGTCGTAACCACGGTTGTAGGTTCAGTTGTTTGTGTCCTTTCAGTAGAAGAGGCAGTAGTTGTAAGTGGAGTTGCAGTCGTAGGTGAGTTTGTCGTAACCACAGTTGTAGGTTCAGTTGTTTGTGCCGTTTCTGTAGAAGAGGCAGTAGTTGGAAGTGGAGTTGCAGTTGTAGGTGAGTTTGTCGTAACCACAGTTGTAGGTTCAGTTGTTTGTGCCGTTTCTGTAGAAGAGGCAGTAGTTGGACGTGGAGTTGCAGTTGTAGGTGCAGTTGTTGTAACTACAGTTGTAGTTTCAGTTGTTTGTGCCGTTTCTGTAGAAGAGCCAGTAGTTGGGAGTGGAGGTTCAGTTGTAGGTGAGTTTGTTGATTCAGTTTTTTGTGTCGTTTCTGTAGAAGAGGCAGTAGTTGTAAGTGGAATTGCAGTTGTAGAAGAGTTTGTCGTAACCACAGTTGTAGATTCAGTTGTTTGTGCCGTTTCTGTAGAAGAAGCAGTAGTTGGAAGTGGAGGTTCAGTTGTAGGTGAGTTTGTCGTAACCACAGTTGTAGGTTCAGTTGTTTGTGCCGTTTCTGTAGAAGAGGCAGTAGTTGGAAGTGGAGGTTCAGTTGTAGGTGAGTTTGTTGTAACCACGGTTGTAGGTTCAGTTGTTTGTGTCCTTTCAGTAGAAGAGGCAGTAGTTGTAAGTGGAGTTGCAGTCGTAGGTGAGTTTGTCGTAACCACAGTTGTAGATTCAGTTGTTTGTGCCGTTTCTGTAGAAGAGGCAGTAGTTGTAAGTGGAGTTGCAGTTGTAGGTGAG